AAAAGCGCTGGCTGTTCTGTATTTCTTCATTTTCAGGAAGACAAACTTAATTATCAGGAGAGTTGCTCACCCAGAAGAGTTGTTCACCCTCCAGTCCAACAGACAGCAAAGAATGTTTAAGCATACTATCCTCTCAAAAAGCAGTAATTTATGCTCTCCAAGCCATTACGGGAATCTAAGGGATGTTTTTACCATGGAGAATATCCACGTTTTGCACACAATATTTAGGTGTGCGTTTAGGACATAGATTTTTGCCCAAACAATGCAAAAGGAAAATTTTCTGGTGTGTACTGGCATTGTATGTCCTGATGAAATAGCAGCCACAAGAAATGGTGGAATTGTGCATCCACACAACAATCACTCTGAACAGCCTAAGGTTAGGTAAGTGTGTAGGAGATGAGTCTGTTCATCATGCTTTATCAGGCCTTTGAAGGCTTGGCATTTCTTCTCTAAAGTGCAGATTTTGATTTTGTGCTTTTGCTTCTTACATACAGACTAGAGCCCTGAATGCAGAGCTGCTTCTGACCCAACTTCTATAGATATTTAGGGGATTGCTGCAAAACTCCACCAGCTCCAATGCAACGGTGTACAGCTATAGACTGTGCTTTACCTAAGTGCATATGGCTACATGCACTGAACTTTACTAGAAACATAAAAATAAAAGAAAGGAGGATGCTTGGTGGCAGTTTAAGGAAGGCATGACCAGATCCACACAAATACTTGGGAACAAGGTACACGTAACTGTGCTACAAAAACCTCTGCAGAGGTTTCATGGGGGTTTTCCAAGAGCAAGTTTATAAAACTGAACTCTGCATTATTAATTTATTGCTTTCCAGGGACTGCAGATACATTTACTAGAGGATGTATGGTTGATTTAGCCTACACTCAGCTTCATTCCTGGGCAAAGGGGTTCCTGGGGATTTTTTTTTTTTTTTAATGCAATAAAATAAAAATGTGCTGCTGCAGCCAAGAGAAACTGTAGACTGTTACTTATCTTTACAAGCGACAGTTTCCCTGGTCAGACTCATTTTAGCAGGGTGAACATAAGTTAACAACTTGAGCTGTTTCTCCTCTCTGACTTTAATCTATCAGCTCGCTGTTCAGGTGATTCCCATTTTCACACCTTGTTTTTGCTCTCCCTCTTCCTCGATACTGAACGCTCCTTCCTCCTTAAAAACGCAACCTGCTAAAGTGCAGCGCTCAGCTGGCTGCATCCCCATCATACTCCTCCTTGGTTGGGGAAGGACTTGCAGTGCTCCAGTTACTCAACTGGTGTTCATCTCTCATAAAAATCTCCTAAATTTAAGCAGAGAAACTGGAATTAACTCACTCCAAAGCATAATAGCATTCATCCAGGCTTGAATTTTGAGAGACAAGTAAAGGCATTTGAATTTAGATGGTTTCCAATTTCCCCGATTTCCATCTGCGTCTTTGGGCATTGCAGCCGCCTTTGTCAGACTGCCTAAAATATTTTATAACGGAGCAAGTTAACAGGAGGAAGCATTAGGCCACGTCCCACTCCCTTTCCTGGCAGTAACATGGGAGGAAAGGCAATGCCACACGGGCAGGGATGCTGAGTGCATCCCCCAACCCGGGCCAGGCTGGCCAAGGGTCCCGTCCCGTGTCCGTCAGGTTCAAAAGAGGCAGTGTGCAGAAGGCACCCGGCATTCGGCAAGGGGTCTGCTCCTGCGCCTGGAAAAACGAGCAGTCCCAGCAGCTTGTTTGTTTGTTTGTTTTTACAGGGGAATACAGGTTCACTCATCATTACAATAAGCACATTCATGCTTGCGCTTAGCCGGCGTGAGCCTTCCAAACCCAGCGCTGTGTATGAATGAGCCTAGTAAGAGCAACATACTGCAGAGTCTTAGTCAATGTTTTTCAAATTTGGGTCAGTCTGAGGCACCCTGGTTGAAAAAGTATTGCCACAAGCATTGTAAATTAATATTTTATATTCCCTTGAAGTACCTTTTGAGGAAATTAACCTTCATTACACAGGCATCTCCCCTGTAAACACAGCAAACAGAAAATACCTCTGCTGACAAGGACAGCATTGTAAGGCAGGGAAGGAGAGCAAACATTGAATACGAGGGAAGAACTGGACCAATTCAGCAGCTGAATCGAATGGGCATTTGTATCCCTGCTCCTCAGCAGCTCCCCAAGCTGTGGTACCTGCAGCACCCATCCACTGCAGACAGCCCTGCCTTTACACACAGGGAGCGGCACCCCACTGCCTCCCAAAACCTACCAAAATGGTAAGGCGGAGGCGTCAGCCCCTATCGAATATCTTGCAAGGGCATAAGGACCCTCACGTTACTCCCAGCACGGTGGCAGTACCGGGCATCATGAAAAGATCCCAGTCCTGATACTGGTGATCTAAACTGGGAAGGCAGCAAGAGTGCTGGGCTGCTGCGGCACTGTTTCGGTTTTGGGATTTCAGACCATTTGTATGGCCCGACCAGCACCAGACCAAATATTTCTGGCACTGGCTGGGGAGGTTCCCCTGCAGCCAAGCGCAGTCAGTCAAACTTGGCTGGCACAAGGCAGGGCTTTTCAAAACCTCTTGTGCTCCAATCGGAAAGCGGCTGAACGCTGCTCTTCCCAGAAAAGTGCTGCCCTTGTCCTTTTTTCATGAAAGCGAACTTGGTATTCATTAGGAGCAGGCCAGAGCTATTTCAGACACGAAAGACAGCAGACACAAATCAATAGAAAAAAATAACTTCTTTTTATTTACAAAAAAAAATCCAAATATTGGATGCTGTAAACAAAATTCACAATCTGTTCCCTCTAGAGTCTGTTTTCCATCAGCTCTTTTTCTGTCTGTGACAAAGCCTATAGTCAAAATGTTCCAAAAGAGCAATCCAAGGAGCAGTTTGCTGCAACAGGATGCCTTGCAGAAGGCAACAGTTGTAAGGAAATCTAAGGGAAAGCAAATCTGCACAGACTCCTACAGACTGCAGGAGACTGTAGTGCTTTAGCCAAGGTGTCTTGAAATTTGCAGGCTTTTTTTTTTTACTATTTATTTTGTTAGCAAACCATTATTACAACAGCAAAACAGTACACTGATTTTCTTTCTTGCAAGGGAACTCTCTGCATAAAGAAAACCATACAAAATAATATATTCAAACAGGAGCTGAATATGCAATTACAGTTTTTCTGTGCAGTTTTATCTAACACACTTCATTTTCTCAATTAAAAAAAAAAAAGCTTTTTTTTAACTGGTAGGAGCTTCTCACATGATGCAAACGAAGTATTTAATAAGAGGTGTTTAGAAGATCTGTGTGAAGGCCTTTGTGCAAGATAAAAAATATTTTAAGTGCAATAAGAGAAACTAGAAAAATATCATATTTTTGGTCTAATTGCCCTTCTATTTTTAGAAAATACGTTCTTGCAGTTGGGAGGACAGCTACATCTAAGGAAAAGAAAAAAAAAATCCCATTTCAAAGCTCTCGGTTGTTTCACGATCACTACGTTTAACCAAGTTTAGCACCCTGTTGGTTAGCAGTAAATTCAGCTGTGGCACAAACAGTTTTACTGTAATCAGGTCAACGTTTTTAATCAGTTCAGCTCTTTAAAAGGGGCACTGTCTCTCGTAGCCCAAGTTTTAACCTTACACCTGATTGGATGGGAAAAATGAAGTCTACAAAGCAAGAACGCAGCCGTTAACTTTAAAAGTACCAGTGTGCTGAAGAGGAGAGGGAAAAACAGTTCAAGAAAAGTCAGACTTTATGGAGGGGGAGGTGTGCAAACCACAGAAATAAACCAGCTTTGAAAAGGGGTTCTTATTTTACTCTTGGCCTGAACTCACGCCTTCTTCCCACCTCTAACACCAGCGTCTTTTAAGCCACCAGTCACAGATAAAACAAAGCTCCACCAGTTCCACCACTTGATCATTAACATATGCAAAACAGATCCGGAATACCTATATAATATATATAAAAACATATTATATATGTATCAAAATGCAAATGCTGAAAGGTGCAGTTAGCTCAGAGCCCTGCTGCATGCACTATAAGGTAACTAGCTGCTGTCAATCATTAAAAACAAAACAAAACAAAACACAATAAAATCTGAGCTGAGAGGAAGTAAATCAAAACTTTTTTCAAGCAATGGAAAAAAATGGATCCTTCAAAGGAAAAATACATCATGTCATGTACTATCAGCGTTCTGCGGTTGTGGCACAGCTATAGATTCTCAAACCCTTTTCAAGAGCAGATGACTCATTTATTTGCTGCAAATAGTTGTGGTGAGAGAAGACATACCACATTACCAGCTGATCCTATTTCCCCAGCCCTCCCCGTAGCTTCCGCTAGCAAATCCTCCCAGGAGCTGGAGGCAAATAGCGGGCCAGAAGCACCCAGCCTGGACCCTCAGGGGGCTGGAGGGGACCTGGCGGGGATGGGGGGACCAGGAGGCCGGCGGGAGGCTGCAGCCAACGCCGGTGGATAGGAAGGTGAGATCTGCAAGTCAACACCAGGAACAGCCATGAAACAGCTTTTATGTTTCCTGAAGGACTCACAGGGAAGGTGCTTCAGTAAACACATCGGGTTCCTGTCAATTTGCCTCCAGAGTGAAAAGTACAAAGCGTGACAAAAATAGATGTACCTTCTTCTCTCCGCAGGGAAAACACACTGCCAGGACACGAGTCCTCTCCCCTGCTCCTGCCTCCTCCAATGCCAGACCCTGCCTGCAACCAGGCAGGGCACAGTTGTCTGAATTCTGTAATCAATACCATAAGAGATAGAACCTCCTTTTTTTTTTTTTTTTTTTTTCCCCTCAGTAAGAAAAAGCAAAATATTATGAGTCAAGTGTCACTTGGTCATTAGGTTTTCAAAGCCCAACAAAGAATTTAACACTTTCAGAGATGGCACTGAAGTGAAAACAACAGCGGAGGTTGTTTTTTTTCCCCTGCTGGTCTTTCGGGAGAGGAAATGAAAGTGAATAGTTATTGTTCCAATGTAAAGTGATTCCATTTAAATAAAGTACAGTACTGGAATTGTAAATGCAGTGTGACAACCAGATCAAAGATGTTTAATATTTGCATAAAAATATATATATATAATATATATATATAAAATATAATTTTAAGCAATCGTGCAACACTCTTAAAAAGGGTTCATTTCACATTTGCTAAATTCTAGTGGTCCTGGAATGCATAACGCATTCTATTAAAAATATTCCTTTAAATATTAACAATTAGTGTTCAAATCACCAACTAATACAATATTCTTTAGCTGTCAGGGGGTTTAAATAAACCTATCTTTGATCCACGTTCCACTGAATTACACATCATGGAGGTATACAGTCACAACATTAGTGGGTTAAATGTCAAAATGGCATTACAGTACATAAGAGTTAAAAAAAAATCAGCTAGTCATATGTTTCTCCATCTGTGGAATTATTATGGCTCGCAAGCAACCCACTGAATTACTGTAATCCTTGTTCTTGCAACCAAAGACATTATCTGAATCCCACCTTAATCCTGACCTGTTCATTTACTCCAAATTTCTCAGGTGGGGGTTAAAATTTCACTGCAAGGTGCCCACTGTCCTATGACATCCTGTTGCAAACTGGAAAACACATAGTACTTTATTTAAACATTCCTTAATTGCTACATTTTCCTAGACCACATTAATATATATTGTGTGTGTGTACATATATAGATAGACACCTATAACATGTACATATATACACACACAAACATATATACACACATACACACACGTACCTAGGATAACAGCACACCGACATAACATTAACTCTATACAGGTATTTGCCAAGAAAAAAAAATAGGGCATTTCCTCCACCACTTATTCACAAGCTTATGGGTTTTTTGTTTTTAATCCTCCTGTCCCTGATAAAACAAAATGCATGGTTAAACCACAAAACTATATTTTTTTTTCCTCACTTCAAATTTTATGAAGGCATCAGGCACTTTTGATTACTATTGGTGTGTACAAATATAGCAACATCTTTCTTTTCTTTTATATATATATATATATATGTATATATACTCTACTGTATCTTCTTTGCTCGGATAACTTTGTGAAATCTTTGGTCCTTGAGTGTATTCTGCTTGCCACAGCTGCTTTTCCTGCATTCTCACATTTTTAAAATGTGAGGCACGCACACAGCTGGAAATAATGGACTTTGTCATCGTACGTGTTTCTGTTTTCATAACTGTACCAATCCACTACTGTTCATTTGGAGCAAGCTGTTTCTGGTAAAGCGTTCTAGTCAAGCAAGCTATACATTCTACACGGTCAATCCACAGACGGCACTTGCTGCAAGCCCCAAATGCAGTAATTCCAATATACATTTTTATTCAGCTTATCTCTGCTTTATGCCTCTAACTTTTAATTCCTGAATATATATAAATTGTTTTTTGTGATTTTTTTTCTTTTTTTTTTTTTTTGTTTTGTTTCTTTCATATTCTCCCTTTTGCAGATCCCATTCTAGAGTAAAAATAAAAATAAGAGAAAATAAGGCTTTCCCACCTTCTCTATGCCAAAGCTATGGGAGCAGATATTGCCAACCCATATTGTCATCAAGCATTCCTCCCTCACTTATTTCAGGGGAAGCTGGCTGCTTTTAATGACAGGCCTCTTGTGCTCTGGGGTAGGATCCAATTATTTTGGGGTTCTTTCTCGATCATGCTCCTGTTATTTATTAGAAGAACCACAAGCTTTTCCCAAGCTTGAAAACTAGAGCAGATCATCACTGCACAAAACACCCCATTTCAAAGGGACGCTTCATCCCTTCCTACGTCTTAGAAAACCTTCTCCCCACCGGGTCTACTAATTTCAGTCCTTAATTACAGGGCAGCCAAGTAGAGTATGTGTGCTGCTGGCAAGGGAACACCGTCTGAACCTGGGCAATATAGTAATTGCTGAAGTTGGCATCTGCTACATATGGGGCTGGCTGGTAATAGCAGGTGACATTGGCCACATTGGGGATGATATTTTGCTCAGCTAGGACCCGGATGGCCAGCATGGTGATCAGATTCAGAGTCTGTCTCCTCTCATGTCCCATCAGGCACACTGTGCTCTCATTCACCACACCATGAAGGGTCATGAGATAGTCATACTTGCGGTCCTCTAATCCCACAAAGTGGTTCTGCAAGTAGGACTCCAGCTTTCTCTGCTGTTCTCCAATGTCTGAGAAGTCAATGAAAAACCTCGAACACATGTATCTCTGCAGGGACTTAATCTCGGATTCGGAGGCAGCCCTAAAGCCCCTTACCAAAAGGTTGCAGTACTTCAGCAGACCACCTCCTCTGATTTCTTCTGGGTTTCTGGTGGCGATTATCTTGTTGCAGAGGTGATCAAAGGCTTCCTGGAAATCCCCATAGACACTCTCACCAATGATAGTCGGGTGAAAAGTTTCAGTCATCGGATTCTCTGAGCACTCATAAAAAAGCAGCAGGGAGTCCAGCTTGATTTGAAAGGAATCGACACTGAATTCAAACTGCCGCCTCAGAGAGTCCACAAATTTCAGCTCCACATTTTTGCCGCTGTTGTTGGACAGGGAGATGAGACTCCATCGGTCTGAATCATTGCATACTTTTACCATTTTCTGCACATAAGCCTCCTATAATTGGAAAGACAAAATGGGCAAATGAAGACACAGATGTAAGAAATTTCCCATTCGCTGAATTTGTTTGCATCTCCCTCACCCCACCTCCACCCGATCCTTGAGTTTCATAGAAAATTTCATGGAGCCTGCAGATACAAACCAGAGAAGAAATGCTTCACATGAAAGCCTGGAGTGCTGTCATTGCACGGGAGTGATAGAGGAGAGTGTTCTGCTGGGACTGTGTCGTGCAAAGGAAGCATATGGCAACACTGCCTCTGTCACTTCTAAATACATCTACACATGAAGTCCATGGCACACATGGCAAACGTCCATGCACCCACACACAAAAGGTCACCGCTACAATCAGATAAGAAAGCTTTTTTATCGGCTTCCACTTCTCTCTCCCCTTCCCACAAAGAACAAACAAACAAAAAAAAAATCCCAACAACCAACTTGGCAAGCGTTCACTCCCCTCAATCCTGCTCTCACAGTGCAGGTTCCACAAATCTGCCCCACATTCCAAAAAATCCCTCTAAAAAAATCTTAAAGCCATTTGGCATTCCGCCTCATTAACTCCGAGAGGAGGGAAGGTGCCTCTCCGCTGTGGCCTTCAGCTCACACGAGAGCGTGCCCTGCAGACGGTGTTTCCTCCGTGCAGACATTAAAGGCTTCTGAGCTCCCCCAGCCACCCCGGGGACC